TGCTAATAACTAATAATAAATATAATATAAAATACAATAATAAATATATAATAACTATTAATAATATAATATACTATACTATGCTAAAAATCTACTTTGTAACAATATATATATATATAGAACATTTTGTTAATTTCATTTCTCTCTTATATTCTGTTTTACTAATTTATAATAGGCTCAAGAGTCACATCAATTATACTTGTATTAACTTCTGTTATAAATATAATATTTTTCTCTATACTCTTCTACCATATAGCATTCATGTCTTACAACTTGCTAAACTACCATTTGCTCAACTTAAACAAGTATATGACAGTAAATGTGATAAGTTTTATATTATTAATAGCAATCTGGTAACAAAATATACATTTGCTAAGCTCTTTAGGCAGACTTATATTAAAACATACACCTTTATCACTATATATAATGTTTTCAAAACAACAAGAATATGATCATTTAATCCTAATGCCATTAACTCTAACCATCTTGAATTCTCAATAATAATATATAACTTTGATTTACCAAATTCTGAGCAACTAATTTATTTACTTGTTATACTAACTTCACTTTTATATTTACCTAGTTTAGTATCAAATTGTCTCTGCTCAACCTCTATAAATAAAGAATTGTAGACAGAAATAAAATTACTTAATTAAAAGATTGAATATTTAAAAACAAAACTAGAACTTTATAAAAATCCAGGTATCAGTTTTTTGTGACTGGTTTTTAAATATCTTTTGCAACAACATTCAAAGCAGGTTGTTGAAGATTTGAAGGTAAATGAAATGTAATCTGAAATTTAGCAGCTCAAAAAAAAATAAAAGATAATGATTTTTTCATAGTTTCTTATGAGTCAAGAGTTATTGTATTTATTAAAAGAAGTGAAAGAAGATGTAAAAAAAGTTGTCAATGAAAAAAAAGAAAAAAAAAAATTGTCATTCAAAAATGAATAGTAAAGAAGATAGAGAAGGCACAGAAACAAGAAATTCATAAGTAAAAAAAAAAAGAAAGAGAGTATGTGAAGTTAGAACAACAGCATATTAAAGAAAAAAAAAACTTAGGAAAAAAAATAGTATTATCTAATTATCTATGTGTACTATTTTTGGTCATTACCTTGAAGATTATGATTTCTGAAAGAAATTTTATATATATAGAAAAAGTTTTTTTTTTAATAAAAAAATTTTCTTAAAAATAAGAAAAAAACTTAATTCAAATCAAAATTATACTTATCTTTAAAATTTTATAAATGTTTAAAGCAATTTGAAAAAGTTTTCTTATAAACATATTTTTAACTGCACCATAATACCCATACTCATCTTAATAATTATAGTTAAAATTTTGCAAGTTTATATATCAATGTTACACCAAAATACTTATATAATAATACCAAAAAATACTTAATTATAATTGGTTAATTTAGAAATATATTAAAAAATTTCAATTTTTTGATTTTTTTTAAAAAAATTAACTAACTTTGAGATTTTTTTAAACAATTTGTAATCAAAAATTAAATTAATTTTTTTTTATAAATATACTCAATAAATCATCAAATATTAAATATATTTATTTAATTGCAAATTAATATGTAAAATTTTGTGTAATTACATTTAATTCAAATGTATCAGGTTAGTGTATCATGCTTAATGAGATTACCAATATACTGTTTAGATTAGTAATAAAATTTTTTAAAATATAGGTCAGTCCATAATGTTATAAGTATTCAGGTAAAATCCCTTAAATTGAAATATCAATGTTCACTCAATTTCAATAATTACAGTAAATTAAGATATTAAAATCCTTGAACAGAAATTGTAATAAATCATTATATGAAATTATGTGACAAGACTTGCACTAAAGGTAGAACATCTGTTCAAGAATATGACCTAATGAATTATCAAAGTTTGATTAAATCATAATGGTACGTACTGACCCATATTAATTTGGCCAGAGTTTGGGTTTTGGGTGCAGACAAACTCAAACTATAGTAGTTTTGGATTTGGCCAGCAAGTATATATGTACCCCGACTGGTGTTACGAAAATGATGTAATCTTTAACATTACCGTATCGTCGCAAAATAACGCCCCGGGCGTTATTTGCTTGAAGAGAGCTAATAATTAATTCTGCCGAAGACTTTTAATAACCAAAAATTATGATTTTCATTCGTTTAAATTAATAATTAGTTCTCTTCAAGCAATGTGTCTCAAATAACTCCCCGGGAGTTATTTTGCGACGATACAGTATTCTTTTTCTTGTGTAACTTTATAATAGTTTAGCTTGTATTTAAATACGTAATGATCGAACCTATATTATACTTTGACGATCATTACGACATTTATATAGTTAGGTCATCATTATAAAAGGAGGATCCTTTCTTGTACTAGTTACGCTTTAGAGAGAATATTTTTCTTGTCTCTGTGTATTGAAGCAAATTACTGGTTTTGTATTTAATGCTTGCGGCACTGAGTTAAATTTGGTTGGAAAATATAAAAGCTCTCCCTTGCCGCAACACGGGCTCTGTAAGATAGCGACCTTTGCAATATTCACACATAACATCTTTAAATGCTATGTTTATTTCTTACCATATAGCCCGTCGTTTAACAACGGGATAAGTACTAATCTGCCAATAATTTACGCTCTTGGCATATGAAGATCCTCGTTAGCATGACTATCGTCATGCTATGGTTATTGTTGATCAGCCAGAAATAGATAGTTTTTTTTTTAAGTCTCAAGTTTTACATTAACCATCGTTCTAAGTTCTATATGAGGAATTAGCATTTACATTCAAAGCATACTTATCGGGAATTAATAGTATATTTAATTAATTATTTCTAAATATTACTGCCACCGTTTTTTCGTATAATTAAGCCGGGTTTGGGTCAAAATCCCGACAAGCGAAATCCCGACAGGTCATAATCCCGACAAAAAAATCCCTACAGCAAAAATCCCAACTAGGGATTGGTCCGGTAGAAATTGTTGCTATAGAATTACCCGAAATACATAATAATTTACCCGAGTAATTTAAAACAACGGGTCCAATCTCTAAATCCCGACAGCAAAAATCCGATAGTTAAAAATCCCGACAGCAAAAATCCGATAGTTAAAAATCCCGACAATTGAAAATTCTTATATATAAAAAATGTCATAAACCATAGCTAACTCTAGCCTAACCCTTATCTAAAGTGACCTAACCCTAAAGTTAATTAAATTATAAGAGTCTATTTCGCTTTAAACATAGGATTTTCTACTTGAATATTCCGACTGTCGGTCAGGATTATGACCTGTCGGGATTGTGATCGTCGGGCACCCATTAATCCTCATGAAATGGGCTTGGTCGGAAAATTCTCTAAATACGTTCATATAACCATACATTGATCTTGGTAACACGCTTCACTGCACTCAGTATGTACCTGGTATGATTCTATAAATATCACATTCCGATGTATTTGTATAAGAAAAAGTTTCAAGACATAGTGTAATAACCTTAACAATGATCAATTATCGCTATTTTGTTTCCTTTGTCTTTCTAGTATTACTCGGTGGTGTGCTTTTCAGCTTTTCGATCGCGAACCTTTCAAAATTTCCATCACCAGTTAATGCTACTTTAACAAATTTTCCAACATGGCATCCTGAAATTCAAAGTATATAAAATCCTTACCAGTATTTAAACTTTACTAGATGAATGTTAATAATTTTTTTTTATTTTTCTTAGACTTTAATCTACAAATATGGTATTCAATAATCGTCTTCACATCTTTCTTACAAATAGTTCCCGGAATACTTATGCTAATATGGACTTTAAAATATGAGACACTTAACGTCTTCATATTTAATAACGAAAAAACTCCAACAACTACTTTTAATAAATTGCTCGCTGGTTATAGCATCATGACTGGTATAATTGCAGTCACCTTGATCATATTTGATCTTGGAAAACTCTTTGCATCGCTTGCCATAATGCATAATTATTTTGAAGTTATTATTATGATACTTTTACATCAAGGTGGAAATCTTGCTACAAATAATAATATTCTTCAGTATAGTATCATTTACATATTAATAGTCGCTGTTGCAACTATATTGCTTCAGTGGCCGTATGACGCTTTTTTCTTTAAAGCTCAAGGTTAAAATAAATTTACACTATGTATAGTATTTTCTATATGTAATTTGGTTATTGATGCATCGACTAATATTTAACTTAATATTTGCAGGTCTTTCTCTTGATTGGGCATTGTTGATTCAATTTATAAGACTATACCTTGCAACAAGGCGAAATTATAGAAAAGAGGACATTAATTTACCCCTTCTTACCCTTGGTGATGGAAGAGAATCAGAAAACAATACATCGAATCATCATAATAAGGATCATCATCTTAATCATGTACTTTTATTACCTCTCGCAGCGCTTTTTCATGTAGCGGGAAATGTTTTAAATGCAGTCTTTTTGAATGAGGGACTTGCGTATGTTAATCTTTTATTGAAATTTTATCTGTTATTATTTGATAAAACGTCATATTAATTTATGTACTTTTTTTAAAAAAAAAAACATTATTATTACAGGTACTATTTATTTGCCTTTAGCTATGGCTTCGTATATACTTCACTCGCTTTCTTTGTGTATTTGGATACTCATTTGAGACCAAATAAGCCACATAAACCTATTTTCGTGCCTGATCCTTCTATTCCAAGTGTTATCTTAGTTATAATCATTTCTGTAACACTCTCATTTTCGTTTCTTAGGCTTGGCTTATTTTATACACTGCATAGTTAAAAACAAGTTTATGTATACAGGTTGTTCATTTTTAATGATTTGAGTTTTTTTTGATTTGTAAAAACCAAGCTAACTATTATCCTATATGTTTACAACATTTTAAAGAAGAAAGTTTAGAAAATAAAAATAACTTTTAAGTCTTAACGAATATTTCAAATTTACAAAATGTTTGACGAAATTATTTTGTCGCAATTATCCTATTCTTTTAGCGACATTGTAAATTTTAACATTTTCTAAACAATGCCAAAAGATTTTAATAATAGCTTGGTTAATGGTGACTAAATATATGGTAGAAATCGATTCAAAAGACACTTATGCTAATATTAAATTAGGAAATTACCTTTTGCGAAAAAATATATAATTTTACTAATAAAGCGCTGCATTATTCTAACTAACCCGATTTGATTAGCTTTGATTTCACACATACAACTTTGTTACTAAAAAAGACAAATTGTTTGACTGCCACGTTATATTGGATGAAGGGTATAAAGTATGAGAATCTAATGATTAAGGGTAGGTTTTTGCTCTGGCCTAACTGAAGTAGAAAATGATTTTTTTTTCTATGGGTGGTCTATTTATTTTTATTAAAGATGCTAAGTGCAATTACTATCATCAGTATTATCTATTAACTAACTGGATAATGCATCAATCCATTGCTTTATTGCCTATTCAAAGTTATTAATATAGATGTCAGTAATAAACTTTACTAATTAACTTTTATTATACTTCTAATGAAAGCCACGAAGATAATTATTACAATTCTGATGGCTGTAACATACTAAATATGACGTAAGAAATTAAGTTTCAGTATGCCTTTTTTCCTAAGATTTATACAGTAAAATCAAGTTTTAGTAGATTCTCAATCTATATAATAGATTCTGAATAAACCTGAATGATAGCGTTCATTTCTACATAATTGATTTGAATTAAAGATCAACGATTAACAAAATTAGCGTTAGGTTTGTTTAATAAAGAAAACGGAATCCCGAAAAATACCCGTTTTAAATCAAACCTGAAGTGTAAATCAAGTATTCTTGAAATTACGTACAATGTTATTGAATTTTCTTTATAAAGTCTGATTACGTTTCTCTAGATTCTATCGAAAAGTGTAAAAGCATCATATGGAGTTGAGTCAATAGAAATCAAGCAAATCGTTTTTATTGAAATTTTTTTGAAACTTTAAACAACAATAACTCAACAAAAACTCAATCAAACTTATCAATTTTTTTAAAAATGAATTCTACAAACTTGTAGCATTTATTTTAAAAAGTTTTTATTAAATTTGATAAAGTTTTGGTTAAGCTATCTTTGTTTAAAGTTTCAAAAAAATTTACATAGAAAAAATTTGCTTGGTTTCTATTGACTCAACCCCATATATACTACATAGATTGTATTATTGATATCCATATATCAAAAAAAGCAACCCTAACTTTAACACGGTTAATTTATTCTTGCAATTTAGCTATCTAGTTGTTAATTTATTAATTGATTGTAAAAGGTAAATACATTAATCAATGTTTTATAACTAATACTTTGAACTCTCGTGCCAAAATTTCAATATTTAAGATATAACGCAAGTTATTTACAAATTTATTCTTTTAAGTTATATAAATAGCTAAGAAATATTAAAAAAAAAAATCAAATTTCAAGTTCCCAAAAAGACCCACACGACAAATTAAAAAGCATACCTTTTTTATTACTTTTATATTCGAATAACTAATAATGAAAGAGGAGTTGATTTTGAACATTCATCACGTTCATATAGTAAATTCATATTAAAAAGCGGTATCCGTTCGTGTAATAATACAATCATAAAAAACTGTTATAATTAGTTTAATTAGTCGATCAAACACCCCAATGTATATTATTAGTACCGGGTCTTTTCCATGATCATTTTCTGCATATGAATTTCAAAGCTTGTAATAGTATATTACTCTTATACGTATTATTTCTTATTTAGAGTTGAATCTATAATACATAAATTCAAAAATCCAATATTGATGTGAGATAATTACTAACTTGTATTTGAATTATTTACAACCTAGTCGTTTGGCGCATCACTAGTAATAGGCAAGCATCCCAAGAACTTACCTACAACTTTTGATTTCATGTCAAATATGTAACTATCTAAGGATTTGATAGTTGTTGCAATAAATAAATATTTGACCCAAACTAGTCCCGTCAAATATGCAATTGTTCAGTAATTTGATTGCTGTTACGATTATCCAAAACTAATTCAGATTGAAAAAAAGTTACTAGAAATTTTGGTTTAAAAATTTTTTTTTATTAAAACATTTGGTATCATATTATGGAGTACCATCTACGCAATTATCAGATTAAACACTCAAAATTTTGCTGGTTTAGCAATCATAAATAAATTAAAGCTTATTACAAATCTTAGAACATAAAAAAAAAAAAATTTAGAATCGGATTAACGTTAATACGTTCAATTATTCGTGACAATAAACTAGTTTAATAAACCCTGATTAATAATTTGCTAATCTTCTCTGTATCGTTCCAATTTTAATAAGTGTCGCCAATTTTAGTTTTTAATCGCCGGAAAAAGATCGTCAATGAGACCATATAGTGCCGGGTCTTCGGAATTATTAAGGTTTGCATTATTTATCGATTGTTCGGAGACATCTATTTTTTTGGGTTGACAATGGATTTTAACTCTTAACCGCGATGAATAAAATTTTTTCGAAGCCATATGTGCAATAAGTTTAAAATCCTCTTCTAATTTAGGATTTTTCGTTTTTTGGTCATTCCAAATATTTTTAACGTGCTTAGATAAGTTTTTTCGTTGTATTCTCAATCCCAACGAAGTTACGCAACCCTGAATAATTTTCCTAAATAAAATGAAGCAGGTTGGGGGAATTTTTGTACCCTTCCCTATCTTCAAGGCGTCGTCGACAGACGGAATCTTGAATAAAACGTGTCTACCAACATATTCCACATAATATACGAAATTATGTGCGAAATTGTGTAGTACAAATATGAGGGTTAATTTTTCTACCGTAGATTCTGAACGCAGAATGGACGAAAAGTTTGAGGGAAACTTAAAATTCGACGGCAACATTATATTTTGAGTTGGATTCATCACAAATTCATGCGAATTCATTTGAATATGCGATGACACCATATTTGTTCGGGTATCCGAAGGCATTACGGGTACTAATTGAACACTTGAAAGCAACACATATTCTTGGCCATTAAATATTAATGACATGGCTGAATCGGCGGGAGGAGAATGGAGAAAAAAGTGACTCTTTATATACAGAATTTTTTCTTAATAGATTAAAAAGCTCAGTTGGATAGACTAACGCTAATTAAGTATTTACAAATTATAAAGCGCGTATGATATCGAACATTTAAAGTCTTTTAAATGAACAACTAATGATACAATAACAATACGTAAATAGATCATTTAATTGGCGCGTTTTGTTAACCATAAATGTGCCATTGAAGAATAAAGAGATGGCACAGTACATTCTGAAAGAAAATAAAATAGTAATAATAAATGCTATTAGTGTAATTGGTTGGCTAATCTTTTTTTTTTTTTTTTTTTATCGATTGGCATCCTTATTAATTACTAGATAGTGACATGAATAAAAGAAAGAGACATTATGGAAAACAATGATATAATATTGATTCATTGGTTAGATTTAATTCCACTGCTCATTATAAAGCTCTAAATTCAGTAATTATTACAAAGGTATCTTTTGAAAAATCGATCTAAAAATAGTCTTGTTTATTCTGATCAGATAATGCATTCGCGTTTTTCGCGTCTCACTATTGCCAGCATTCTATTGACCAATTTTGGTTTTATAACAACAGGTTAATGGCCGAACAACATAATTCAATGCATTGACACTTCATTTAGCATACTTTTGACAAGTCACGAGTATACAGTTTAGGAATTCGCTTTGTTTCTCGAGATCACTAGAACTTTACCCCTTAAATTTTGTACATTTCTGATCTCGGCGTCCGGATTTTGTTTTCCGCTGAATGGAACATTTTACGTGAAAAAATATCGCGACTTAATTGTGCTACAAGATCTTGAGACAAAAATTTTAAGTAACATAATTTAATTTGGCGATTATGGTAAGCACACACGTATATTTGTCAATTAATCAAAGCTAATATTAACAAATCATATCAATAGGCCCAAATTTATCTATTAGTTACATTTATACATTTTATAAATCTTATACAAACACGACTTCTCATTCACTTAGATATAATGTAGATGTCACTATAATGATCAAAATTGGTAATTGAAGGTTGCATACACCATGCCTATGAATTAGCCCACATGCATTTGCCCCCGACAATTCACTGACTCATAAGGAAACGTTTACGTATAACATTTACATTTATAATCTTTTAGATCCGGAGAAATATATTCAGTTTTATTAGATAACATTTATAATGTCAGAACAAGTTAAAACAAATAGTTTACAATTATTCACATTGCATCACATCCGAACCCAATTTAATATATGAACATTCATAGTTAGGATTATTATTCATATCAGTAAGCAATTGAGACTAGGCAAAACTTTCCTTTGTTATGGAATAATCTAACCTAATTTGTTATGAATACGTGCGTACCAAGCTAACTTTACGGTCTTTTAATCAAGTTTGAAAGCTGAAATGAAAGTAGTAATGCTTAATATTTACGTCGGTTTTAATCGATTTTAACCTAAGAAAAATAAAACCGATTCTAAACTCTAAAATGGATTGTCTCATTCAAATTAAAAAACTACAACCAAAATTACTGTATGCTGGATTGATAAATCAAGAAAGAACGTAAGCATAATAAAAAAGTTACTTCATTTTAATTCTTTAGCAAATATTTTCAAAGTTATAGAATTTTTGGATATGAATGTGAAGCATTAACGTTAATGGATTTCGAAAATCTTTCAGGCTTAGCAATATATTAAACGTTAAATAACTTTGAGTAACTTCGAGCAAATCAACAATATAGTTAGTTGCCTTTCTACTCGAAATGACTATTCTGGAAAGTTTTATTCGTCATGGTTAAGTTCGTTACATAATGAATCCCTTTATACAGGTCGTATATAGAAGATTCAATATAGTGAAATAAATACGTAGTACGATATGGAAATACAAATTAGGATAGATGTGTGGAAGTCAAGCCTCCAAGTATGTACGCTCTACAAATGCGAATTGCACTCTTACAAAACTATAGATGGTGGTAGAATTCAAAAAAGGAAATTATAACAATGATTACTAATCATTTTCATTGTTAATATTTCCTTTTTGAATTCTACCACCATCTATATACGTACAAAACTACACTCTTAAAATGCATACGGTCAGTTCCGAGGTGGTGCATGTATGGAGGTCGACTGTAGTAAGTACGATTTGTAAAAGAAAGAATTCTTTTAAATCGAAATTATTCTTGTTATAAAATGTTGTTATTCTAACACAAAAAAAGACAATGTTGCACTTGTCTTAATCCAGGTCATAGAGAAGGTTTACTAAGTAATCTTAAATTTTCCAAGCTGTACGCATGTAGTTCGTGTTAGCGCATATGTCCGAATTTGTACTACCATGCAGTACTACTTTACTGTACCTGTATTTCTATTTTGTCAAGACCATTACATATAATTAACGCTACGAATCATAGCGTTCATTTAAACCCCAAATGCTACGAATCATAGCAGTCATTTAAACCCAAAATTAATTAAAACTAACCATTCTTGAGATATAGGCATTATTTAATAACCTATTTTTTTGGCAAAATTACATCATCAAATAATGCCGGTATCTCAAGAATGGTTAAAAACAGGCTAGTAGTTCTCGAGATATCATTGTTATAAAATTAGTTAATCAATTTTTATCACTATCTTCCATTTTAGATTGTGTTTGGTAGAAATTCAAGGCATTGGGATGTGCCGTATCATAACCAAGTTATAACTTGCTATAACTTTGTATTTTAAGTTATTGTATAGCGTAACATGTGTCCTTATTGTTTATATTCTACCGTAATTTCTTATAACTTCATATACCGTAACTCACTATATGCCGTACTTTCCTATTATTTTTCTATTTTTAACCAAAATCTTTAAATTTTTATTATTTAAAAGTTTTTTATTAATTTTTAAAAAAATTCCAATAAAGTTTATAAAACACATATTCAATAAAATATTTATAAGTAAACTGTACCCTATATTATTAATAATTTATTATATTATTTAAAAAATACTAAATATAATTTAAAAATCCAGGAAAATTTGTTTGAAAAGCAGTTTATGAAATAGTGGAATTTGAAATCTGGACCTGTTGCTTGAAGAATAACAATTCAAATACTATACTATGATTGTTATTCTTTATTAGCAGTTTATTAATAATAAAAAGACTTGTCTAATAGAAATATTTGTTATAATTTTGATACAAAGATTATTAAAAGTAGTTTATTAGTTAGTTAATAAAAAAAAATTATAGAAACTAATCAGAAAACAAAATAAAATTAAAAAAAGTCAATATTTTATATAGATTACTAAAAAGAATAGTAGAAAAAAAACTTTAAGCATTAATTATATAAGAGCAAATTAAGTACAAATAAAATTTCTAATAAATTTTTTTGATGTTTATAATTAGTATTTATTAATAATACTAATCTAACAAATAATAACTTAAAAGAAAGAATTACAATTTATTAAAAAATATTAAAAGTATTATAAACTTAAAAAGTTTAAAATAGATTTAATTAAAATTAATAGATATAATAATAATAGATAAAACAATAGAGTATACAAATAGGCAAAAGAAAATATTAAGTTAAATAAATTAAATAAAATAATAAAAAAAAGCTTTTTAAAAAACTAATATTTTACTTATTAAAAAAATAATTATAAAAGACCTTACAAAATAATTTATTAAAGATATTTTAGATTTTAAAACTAAAAATAAAATAGGTTTTTTATTAGTAATAAAAAAGACAAAACTAAATAATAAAGCAATAAATTTTTATTTATTTTTACTTATGAAAAAGAATTAAAAGTTAAAACAAAAATAAATATACAAATTAGAAAAAATATTCAAATAAAAATATTGATTAAATATCTTAATAATAAATTATTAGTATTGTTATAGGTGAAAGCCTTCTTAATTTTCACACTATAACGACGACACGGCACAGGGAATCCCTTACGGGTATA